AAAAAAAAAAAAAAAAACACCTAACCAGCTGCTCCATGGGAGAAAAATATGGCAGTCTGCTTCCGTAAAGACTGACAGCCTTGGAAACCCTATGGGGCAGGTCTACTCTGTCCTGTAGGGTCACTATGTGTAGGAATTAACTTGAGGACAACAGGGTTAGGCACAGTGCTTTACACAGCAGGGGCATTCCCACATTCCTTAAAGACTACTACTCTCCAAATGATGCTCCAGAACTCGGTTCCCAGTGAAGCGAGTCTGGAGGTCTTAAAGAATATCTGCTGCAATACATCAAATGAGAGGCATTCTAAGTTTTTTAAAGAAGACAAGGACTCATATACGGATGTGTTATGGTAACACTGTTTTATCTTCAATAAGAAATTTTGACAACTGAAGTAGTAAGATCAAACATTTTAATCAACTATAATAAATCAATAATTGTTGTATTATTATAGAAAAGTTCTGATTCATGCATCAGATTACATACATTATACAACCGTCACATTATGCAATGCTTCCATATTCCTGAATTTACATCTCCAAAAATGTATACAAGTTACTAAGAGCTTTTTACTTAATATGATTAAGCACAGTACTCTTCCGTTATAAACGATGCTTACATCTTTCAAGTACCTACTAAATATATACATATCTAGATCTGCAGCATATTTTGTATCTCAAAATACAAACCATCTGGAAGCTTCCAAGATTAATAGGCCCAAATGTACCATTTGTTTCAGAGTTCAATTCCATTGTAAGAGTGGATTTTTTGACACAGAACATAAATGAAATAAAACGTCAACTCTAGTTTAATGCATGAATAGCTTCTACACTTCTTATTAAATACATCGGAATACCCTTCGTATGCAGATTAATGAGTTCAGGTGCTACCTACTGCATATTAAAGACTTCCAGAGATTGCATCTGGATTATTAAAGTTACACAACTGTGGAGATGGGGGTCTTCAACGCGTGGTGACGGGCCCTTCCTCTACCCTCCGGGTCAGAAGCACGGCACTCCTCTCTGCCTCTTCCTTCAAGGAGATCAAGTGAGTGAGCATGCTCTGAACTTCACTTACACACACACCAGTGACACCCAGCCTACCTCTAAGACCTATGAGTGCACCAACATCAACAAGTTTCAGCTTCATTTACAAATCCCACGTTGCTTTTTCTAAAAAGCTACAGAGGAAAATAAAAGCTTGAGTGTAATGACGACTGAAGGTGTACTGAAGACAGCGGTTCTTATTTTGTTTAAGATTCTCCTGGAAAGAACGAGCAGCACCCTGATGGGGGTGGGAGGGAGGGCGGGGACGGGCCGAGGGAAGGATGTGAGGAAAGCCCGTCTGTCACTAATGAGCTTAGTTTTAGGTTTCCATTCATGAAACCCTTTTAAATACAAGGCAACATTTTCACAGCTGGAAAATTACAACGAAATCTTGATTTACTGCCAAAAGCAATAGATGTAGTTATGTATAATCTATGGATAAATACTCCATTCACTGGAGGATGACAAAACGAGGCTCAACGCAGAACACAGCAGCAGAAAGCAACACTTACACATTCCTCATTCTTGAGTTTTACACTATTATATATACAATTCTAAGACAGGACCCTGGTCCTGAAGCCTAAGTGGTAGAACGTTCTGTCCGATACTTTCAAAGCTGAATTTTCAAACAGGGAGGAGGGGGGAGGCTGGTTATAAAACAATACTGCTTCGAAAATAACAGCAGGAATATTTTAAATATGTAACAGACGGCTATTAGCTTATGACAGGTTTGAGATAAATATCAATGCTACCATTTTAAAAAAGTCCTCTTGGTGAAATGATTTTGAGCGCACATTATCTGAAACACTGAGACCAAACAGTGCTGATCTATCTATTGTGCTCTGCATTTCTGAAGAAGTCTACGTGTTTTATTTCCATTTCTAAGCTACCAACAAAATACAGCATTGTACTTAAAGGTACATTTTGGAAAAATAAATGAAAGTGATTTTTTTGGCCATTTTTCTACAACACTAGAAATTAAAACTGCTGTTTGTACTTCTGCCCAAACACAGGAAACACAGAAAGGCTTCCTTGGGAATTCATTTTCACTTTTTGTTTTTAACTGATTAGACTGACTGGTTAGGAAAATATCTACTAAGTTCTGCTCCAGGTCATGAATGAAAACTCATAAACATTGTAACAGAAAACTTTCAGGCAATGATCAATGTACATTCACTTTTCAGTCCAATATTTGTCTCAGATTTAAAGATTAAAATGTTGATGCAGTTATAGCCAAATGACTCCTTAAGAAGAAGTTTCACTCTTAATGGTTTTCTATGTGGGCAAAGAATCACTCTTTCAAAATGAACTTCCTTGTGAAAAGAACAGCGGTACTTGAACTGTGCTTTTTAATGAGCTCTGTTTATATAAAACCACCCCAGATACAAAACTGACACCTTGAGTTATTCAATAAAGAGCAAATTTGGCCAAAGCATATTAAAATATCTGCAGGTATCTGTCGTAATACTGAAAATACAGGAACTTTGTTATTTAAAAGAGCATGTGTGCCTCAACTATATGACCAACAGAAAGACCAAATGTTAAGAATTTTGTAATATTTAATAAACGTTCATTGAAAATGGCACCATGTGAAAAACCAGTAATTTATCGAGAACTCAAATGAGAAAATAAAATTCTACCCCAGATTTTAGGATTAATTACAGAACTTTCATTATAAGCAGAAAGGAAAAACTAGCAAAAGCTATTTTTCTTTCCTCATTTCTTAATTTTAGAAATTTAATTTTATGCATTTGGCAAAATTTTTCAGAATTTCAAAATTATGTACTCACAGGAAATATAAAGAAACTCCGAAAATAAACTTAACAAGAGAGTTTGGTTTATGTGTGTAAGCTTGGCCCAGTACATTGGATTCAAAATATTAAAATGTGCAACACTATTACATCTGCTTTTAATTCTATTTTCAATCAAGTCTTAATACGGACAAATATTAGAAAAAATGCAGTTCGTTAAAAGACTGGGGATACATGTGTCTCCACACGTAGATAAACTTTCCATTTTAAATTCAGAAAGACACAGCTACTCTCATTGTTTCATTGTAAGTATGTTAGATTTTTAAGACTGGAAAATAAGTACTAGATGATCAGTAACATTTTTATACCAGTTTTTAACAGTTTTTCACTGTAAATTTCATATGAATATTATAAAGATAATTTGTGGAACCAGTCAACATTTGGGGGGAGTGGCCTTAAGAAACATAGACCTAGTTTCATGATGAATCAGGGTGGCGCGGAGACACGCACAACGTCAGGCCAGCCAAGAATCCGCCTGAAAACACACTCCTCCTGCAGGAGCCCACGTTCTGGTTCCAGACCCAAAGGCAACCATCTGTTCTATTATTCATGTAACTGGAAACCAAGCCTCATTCTTCATTCCGAGAATCTGCCCACTGCCCTGGGTTATCAGGCATCAGATGATTACCTACATTTTTCCCTCAAAATTGTCAGATTTAATTTGCCAATATTTTCTTTGCTAGTGATTTAATGACATGCAGAATCTCTACAAAACAAATTATATTAGCTTCTCTTCTGCTTATAGATTAAATAAAACTCAAGACATTAGGATAAAAGAATTAATGCAAAGAAATGCATGCCGTCGTGAAGTTAATGATGTTTTCCCAAAATACGCCATTTTTTACGAAAGGACTCTGGGTCACGAGTTTCAGTAAAAGAGCAAAAACGTGGTGCTGAGATAATACATAGCAGCTCCCTCTGAAACCAAGCTCCATGTGGTCAGAGTGATGTGAAGCGGTGTCTGCATAACCAACCCTAACACTAGGGATGATGAGTTCTGCGCTGACAGACCACACCCACCGTTTCAGATGAAGGAACTGGGATCCCAAGCTTAGAAGCAACCAGTTTTGTTTTTCCTTAATGTTCTAAAAACACATTATGTATGAGGTATATGCATGTACTTTATATACAAAGATACATGGACACAGATTCATGTACACATATGTGTCTATAAAATATGAAGTTCTGAAGTAGTGTTTATAATGAGCAGTATTCCTGCAGCTCGGTAAGTCTACAAACCGACTGCTGAGAACCAACGGCACTGCCCACTCTACTCCATGAGCAATCTACTCCTGAGGAAAAAGTCATGCCCTTCTGAAGGCTTTTCTAGGCCTCCCGTAGGTTCGTGGGCCGGCACCAGCACTTAAGTGAATCCTAAAGAACTGCTTATTCACCAAGAATCTGGCCCACCTTCACTTTAAAAGTTTAAATTATTTAACTCACTATAAAGGTCACTCTTTCGATAGTCCCTGCCAATATAGGTCAAAGAACTTTTCCAAAGGAACCAGGAGAAAATGTAATGAAACCTGACTGTAGAATGTCTTTCATTAACAAGTTTTTCTTTCTTTTTTCATTTCTCTCTGTTTTTTCATCATAAAAGCGGTGCAGTTGGCTTACTAACTATTGGAGCACTTGCCAGCTTTCCTGGACGGTTCGTACGGCACCCGCAGAATACTGGGCGTCTCCTCCATCACCCGGACGAGGAGGTTGTCGATGTAGTCCTCCAGCTCCCGGATGTGCGAGTCCTTCCTGCGCAGGAGTTCCTTGTGTTTCACCAGCTCCTGCAGCACCTCCTCGTGGGTCAGGCCCCGGTACCCCGCAGTGGCGTCAAAAGGGTTGCTGTCCTGAAACAGAACAAAGACCGTCACTTCTGTGGCTGTAATGCCAGGGACAAACACTCAGAATCATTCTGAACGTCACTTTTCGGTCTTTCAAGCCCTGAATCAAGCTTGTCTCTGTGCTTGGCTAGGCCTTATGCGGCAGGTCACAGACCAGCAGGCCGGTTCTGAGGGAAGGACTAGGACAGATGCATCGAAGCGTTGGTTATATCAAGATAACTGTCAATTCCTTTCAAACCCCCTTTTAAAAACACTGTGGGCAATTTCCTAATATCAGAGATTGACCATGTAATTTAAGACTACAGTGAAAAGTGTTCTATAAGAAATGTAACTAACTGATTAAAAATGAAAGAACTCTAAGAGTAACTCAAGGAACTGTAAAAAGGTACTGAAAGAAAACTGTACACTTGGACATTAGAATAGGTCCACGGAATTGCTTCCACTAAAGCTATGCCTCTGCTTTGACTGAAGACTGCTACGAGAAGCATCAATATCAAATCTGCTCTGGCAATCTGCTATGAAATGTTGAAGACATTCGGGACCATCTTATAAGAAGTCCTATTGGAGTATACTATAAGAAGCCCCATGAGGAATGATTTCTCTTCCTCCTTCCAGTACTAATATCTAACTTACCTTATTTCTCTTTTTGCCCTGGTTATCAGGAAACTTAGATTTCAATGTCTGTTACCAATTAGGGCAAATATATGTATACATTCTCTCCCATTTTCACTTTTTTACTTATTTTATTACCTTATTATATTGATAAAATTCCTTTTAAAACCAAAGTATAAATACAACCCTTCCCAAAAAGAAAGAAAAAGGCCTTTTCACTACAAAGCATTTTAATATCACTGTTAAATCAGGCTAATGACTATTTTTCAGGAAGTCCATCAAGAAGGCACTGTAAGCTCACCTTCTATTACACATGCAGTACTTATAATACACTCATAGAAAGAAACAATTTTTGTGCCTTTTTATACACAGTGCTATCACTAAACTCAACAACTTAAAATTATTTTCATCGTTTTTTTTTTCAAAACAGTTCCATTTGGCTTTAAAGAAAACAAATTAAAATATTGAGGCAATAGGTCTTCCTGCTTTTCCAGACTAACAGTGTCTCTTCAGTGTAAGGAGAGTGCAGGGCCTAGCAAATACAGAAGAGGCTCCTTTTCTTTTTGGAAAGGGATTCCATTTGTCTTTGCTCATTTTCAGGCTCTCCTTTAATTGTGCTCTGTGTCCACGGTTTTCATCAGTAAAGCCACAGTCGAATTTGCAAGGCTCCTTGGGCAGTGCGACTCTGCCAGCACCAGAGAAGCGGAAGCAGCTGGACTTCAGACACCATCCTGATGCTCGGGTCAGAGAAGCACACATACACCCTTCTCTCCAGAACAAAGGGGAAAAAAGCAGGATTGAAGAAAACATCTCCAATTCCACAGAATCTCTCAGGTTTTGTAGAAAAGAGAGTCTGTACTAGCTCTTCAAAGGTTGTGCCGGGCAGGAAAGGGCGACTGGGCAGTTCTAGCAGTGGGTTCTAGCTAGAGGGAAGGCTGAAGCCATGGTGGTCAATAGTGCAGGTTATCACTTGTACACAGACGGAACATCAGGAACAGGTGAGGGGGGCAGAGACCAGGCTGTAAGGGTGGGAGGGCAGCCGACCAAGGACTTGGAATGCTATTCTAAGGACCTTCAGACTTTTTGCTGTAGGAAATAGGAAGTGACTGGGGGTCTCTAAACAGCACAGTACATAATTAGAGCTATGTCCTAGGAAAATTAAAATGGCCACAGTGGGTAAGATCCATCTAGAAGGGCTGAGATTACTTTTAGGGCTGCTAAAATCAAGGGAAGAATGATGGAGAGCTCCACTAGATTAAGAGAATGAAGAGAAAGAAAATGGAAGCAAAGTGAGTTTATAGTCTGTTAAGACATATTCGAAACAAATTATTTGGGCATTAAAAACTAGGAACAGGTATCATTTTATGAGTTATAATACCTTTGTCCCTAAAAATTTTTCAGAATATTGGCTCTAAGACAATTAAAAGACAATTCTAAAGACCAGTTTCAGTTTACTTTGTATTCTCTCCTCCCTCAGATCAATTCATCTTTTTGTTTTTTTATTAAGTCAACACACACACTCTCTCTCTCTCTCTCTCTCTCTCTCACATGATTTTACTAGTTTATTTATATGGTCATGAGCAATTCAGAGATATACACCATCCTGAAATTCCCTACCTCCACTCCTATAAATCACTGACGATGCTAAGGAACTTTCCACAAAAAAAATAAAACCTATCATCAAGATCAAGGTGTTTCTAAAACTTAAAATACGCAACCGTGTCCTATTTTAACCTAGGTAATTTTGCACAGATTTGAGACATCAACCATCCTAGGTCTCACATTGTTTATCTGACAAATGAGATGTTCGTCAAGGTCTCTTTCACCTCCAAAATTCCCTGATTTACAAAGTGGCTTTCCTGAGCTGTATTTCTCAAAGTAATGAAGTCCAACTACTGTGGTCTAATAAAACACTTATTGAAAAACAAGAGTTCTTGTGAGAATTGCAGGGATTAATGAATTTAAACTAAATGGGATTCATTAATGATTAGTTATGTTTTTTTCTTAATTTAACATAATAATAGCATCTGATCCAGTCTCTCTAATCTTTATCAAATTATCCATATAGGAACCTATTTCTCCAACTAATTAAGTGATGATAATATACAGTCAAAATTCACTTGCACTGTTATATCTAACATTATACCACCATTACCAGATGACGTAGTGATTTTTTTTTTCCACTAACATTTCTTTAAAGACACTGAGGATAAAAGGCATGTCCAAAACCTCTTATTTTGACATGGATAGTTTAAACTAATGCCACTGATATCATAATAATCTAATAATTTACATAATCTCTCCAAATAATCAACTATTATCCCAGAATTGTGTTCAATACTTAAGAGCAAGAATCTAGCACATACAGCTCCATTATTTGCCTTAAATTTCCCTCACAACCACCTAATACTAACATATAGACAGATTTCCTGGAAATACATTTCTGGTCTTTTCAATAATTGTTCCGTTTGTGTTTTTATTTGAAAATTTCTGCATCAAGTTTTCTGGGCAAGAAAACATCTTAGAAGCACATGTATTATAAACTATATTCTGAGGGAGAGTATAACATAATTAAAAACAGCTTCATACTTAGCTCCAACTCTTATCCCATTTTAGTAAGCCATGTAAACCTTCTATTTTTAGACAGAATATTCTTAAACTGACCTATATACCCATTAAACAGATATCCTTCTGTTTACTGACATCACTCCAAGTAAAATAATAAAAATTAATATTAATAGAAAATTAAAATATTTACTGGTTACAAAAATTATTTTGCTTATACATGAAAACTTTCAGGCAAATACATATTAAATTTTTTTTTTCTAAATGATACTTTTAATACTATTTTTGGAAAATCTTCTAAAATTAGGAAATTGTAAAACTGGTAAAGACTGAAATGCAACATACAATGGGACTCTCCTAACCACTCAATATTTTTTTCCTATAGCTCTCCACAGAGACGCACGTGTTTTGAAGATGTTGTATTTTAAAATCTAATGTAAATGTTTCTTCTCTCTTCCCCTTCCACAACCAATCCGGTTTTCATTCCTACGCAACCTCTGTTGAAAATGCCCATATGCAGATATAAAGAGCTGGGACCGGGCGAGAACAGAGGAGCTTTTTCACCGCAGTCTATTTTCTAACGAGAATGGTAAGGAATACAGTTAAGGAAAAGAATTCGAGAATTCCTAGTGGTCTGTTTTTACTTTACACAGTCTAGTCTTTTAAACTAGGAAATGTATATTTTTTTACAATATTTAAATTTCAACAAAAGCAAATTACCAGGACTCAAAATAACTAAAGATTTAAAGAAAGGTTGTCCTGGTAACCCAGGATTGGTGAAGTACTAACTGACATCCCAGGCGACTAGAGGAGAGAGAGAGAGAGAGATAAGATGAAGGCTTGGCATTCTCTGATCATCTCATTATTGTTCTAATGAGGAACTTTGCTCTGGGAATATCATCTCAGCTACTTTCACATCTTTTGTCCGACTCCCTTCATCTCCCTTTCAGTTCTTAATTAGGCCTTAAAGAGCTCACACTGCCCTTTCAACTGGCTACTGCTCCTGTTTAAACACTGTGCTTTCACCGACAGGTGTTGGCACTAGCATAGAAGACATACAAACTTAATTACAAAATACACTGTCCAGAAGGAGAAAAAAATAACTTTGTGGATGGCTATTATTGGAGAACTTAATGTAAATGACTTCAAACATCTTCTAATCTTCAACATGAAAATTGTTCAAATACTTTTCCTCCAAAATGATCAGTATGAGGATGGTACTTCTCCTCTTAATTATCATCTTGCAGTAAATTAACAACACCTGGTAATCCTTTCGCTGTCCTTTAGAATAGTTAGTATTCCAGAGAAAAGTAATCACACATCAAGGATTCTTTTATCACCTTTAAATCCTTTAACTAAAACAATTTTCACATTTTATTTCTTTAAAGAATTCTAAGGATGCTTTTACAGCAATAAATTACAAGATTTGGGAAAGTACATTTACAAGCACAGAGAAATTATAATTAAGGTTACTTAATAAACAATAGCCACACATTAAATCGATTTTTTGATGTTGCATTTTGTTTGAGATTAAGTAACCGCCTGATAGAATTCATTTTACTATCTGATCAAAGGCTGACTTCATAGACTCTGACATTTCTTGCCAGGCTGCTGTATTAAAAAGACTTGAGTATTTACGAAACATCAAAACTTACAAATCATTTACATGAAACAGCAAAACAGTACAAAGTCATCTGCTTCTATAAACGCTTTCTACGGTCTTAAAGACAAAAACTACATTTAGGGTAGTTTATAAATGAACCCTAACACCACCAGGATTTCTTGTAGGCACATCACATCATAGAAAATGTTGATAAGTTATCACTAAAAAAAATTCTTATTGAACATCTGGATCACACACATTAAGGACACATGGTTCACACAGCAACCACCAGCTTCTTGGAATAAAGGCTCTATTTCTGCTATCCAGTGAGGATTTAGTCTTCTACCAAGGACACTTGCCCATGTTTTTGTAAAGTAACTTATTCTCCAGGTTTAATGTATTTAGAATCAACTACAGATGCAATGGAACTCTGAAGAGTCCCACTGGATTTCAAATAGCAATACAATGAACTTAAGGGACCTAACTCCACATACATCATTTGAGTTGAGTCGGCTGGTCACTCTGTTGCTGTCAGCTGCCATCACCAACCCACCAAGCGCGTATATGGCACAGTCCTGACTAAGAAGATAAATGTCCTAAAGGTTCTTTCACACTTTGCTGGTAACTGGATTTCTTGCTAGGATGCTTCTCCTGTTGCTGACTGTTACCAAGCAGCTTACCTCAATCCTTGTCCCAACAATGACGACAGCAAATGTTATTCCTCTCCACAAGCTCTTATTCCATAACGATAATGGTGACCTTGACATCAGCTTTCATATTAATTTCAAAAGTCAGCAGACAAAATATATATAGTCTAAACCGGCTTCAATTATAACTATAACGTTTGCTTGAACTATCATATGTAACACAGAGGTCACTCATATATCCAGGCAAAGTCTGGATTTCACTTTCTTTCACCCTCTCAAACTTACCACGTGAAACTAACGTACTTGGGTATCTGAGGAAGTCAAGAAGACTGAGGTAGTTTTGAGATGTGTGCCAGAGAGGCCAGCTTTGTTCCCTGGTAACTCTCTAACCCCCTCAGAACTTACCAGTACTTTCCTGAGGTCTTCACTGCTTGTCGGATTCGTATGAAAACTGAGTAAGGAAAAACAAGATGAATGTTAAAAGTGTACCACAATCCATGTGGGAAGAGTCATATAAAAACAGTAATTTTTAAATCAACACTGCAACAATAATTTCTAAAGTCCGAAATCTAATTTAAGTCTGACTCAGATGGGTGACTGTTAATCCAAATGGTAAAAGAAAAACAGAATCAACTCAATATTCTTAAAGTATAATTTTAAACTATAAAGGAAAACCCTTCAGCTATTTCTCCAAATTGAAGAACTAGGCACCTAAGTATGCAGCTTCTAACACATATTTAAACATAAACAATTTTACCAGTAAGGTATTTTATAAAAGTAAATTGTAAGTTTTTGCTCATTTTTGACACACACACATTCACTCACCTTAGGCCTTTCTGTTATAAAACCATGGAAGGTTAAGTGCACATAAGGTTGGAAAGATTATAGAAAAAAAGAGTTAAAGCAACCTTTTTAAAATGCTACAGGTATTGGGAAAATTACCCTCTCAACGAGCAGGAATTCGGTTGCCTGAATCATTTCTGTCATTAACGTGATTTCTAACTAGTAGTCTTCAAAATCTAAATACCCAAATGGACCAAAACAAGAGTGATTTCTTCCGTGCAGAGAACACAAAAGCATCACAGCTGGAAGCTGTGACCATTTTCTTCTTTGAAACACGCCCATTAGGAAGGGGACTGTGACCAGAAAGAACCTAAACATCAAAGCCATCGATGAGTAAATATGTCATCGTTGCTGCTCAAGTTAAATTTTTACCAAGCACTTAAGAGTATTAGCCATTAGAACCTCTACAAAGCATTACTGCCCTAGGAACCTTTTTATTTAATAACAATATTAATAAAGACATAAATGAGCCAACTTAACTGTAAAATATGTATTTTTTGTATTATCAATGCATTATTACAATGCCTTGTGAATGCAGAATGACTGAAATTCCTTAAAGAGCTAAACAATTCACTTTCAAAACTTTTGAGGGTTTGCACAAAAACGTGCACAAGATATACTGTCTAGAAGGTATCCACTATCACAGCCACATCTCCCAAACTGTGCATCCACAGGGCACTTAGGCACCTCCAGTTCAACCACCTCAAGAGAATTCCCCACACACACAAGGTTCCATTTGTTTTGACTAAATTCCTACTACTAGTTTCTAGAACTAGTTACTGATTTTTTCCAGCTAGAACTATTGATAAATTTAGCATTTCAGTAGAGTTGGGTGACACAACAAAGAAGAATGAAACATGTTTTAAACACCTACAACGCACAAAGTGTAGGACTAGGTGGCTGACACATTTTCACACTCCCTACACATCTCTCTGTCTTTATGGTGTTCTGTAGGGTCCTGACTAGAGTCACTATCCCAGCAAAGCCTCAAGAGCCCAACCAAAGAGTGCCGTAAAAGGTAACAGGAACAAAAACACAATCCAAAAAGACGTGGCCGTATAGTACTCCTCAGTTTAGAGTCCACTGATACTAGCAGCTAACACACGTGGTCTCTATCCTATCTGCTTCTACCTAAGGTAGTCAACCCAAGGGTCCCGAGCAACAACTCTCTCCTTGCCCCAGAGTCTCACATCATGCTGTTTTCTAATGTGTCAAGACAAACATTCTAAACATCCCTCTCCATCTGACTGGGCTACTCTCAAGGACAAAACCATTTACATTCAGGTCTGAAAGTGGACCATGGTGGTTACAAGCAGAGTAGTGGTTAAGGGCCCTGGGGCCAGGCAGTGTGACTTCATATCCTGGTTCTTCCCTATACTTGCTGTATGCCTTTGACCAAGTTACTTAACTTTTACTGCATAGTTTCAAGTTTTATTGTATCTAGGTTCCTTCACTTGTAAAATGGGAACAGGAACAGCCTACTACATTAACACCACCATGCAGATTAAATGACTCAACAACACGTAAGACACTCTGCAGTGACTAACAGATGGAATATGTTCAATAAATTACTTTATCTAATAAACATTTGTGTAGTACTGAGACTGCACTGGGCATAGTTCTAAAGCCCTTTACCAATATTAACTCACTTAATCCTCATAACCCTTAAAGTAGACATTACTGTCCTCATTTTAGAAATAAGGAAACCAGTCACACCACTTCACGGTCAAATAGTAACTGTCTAGTTCTGGAATCTGTCCTCCTACAATGCCACGCAGCCCTTGCCCAGGTCTGTTTACGGTCTCTGTAATCTCGGACAGCACCGCGGGGGAAAGGCCCGAACACCACTCACTGAGTAAGCATGGTGCAGCTGTTCTGGTGGGCAGGAAGGAGACAGCACTCCTGATATTTAAATTTTTAGACCAAACGGAGAAAGAAATGTTCCACCACAGCAGTCAGTCAACTGGAGGAAACCAGCGGACTGACCGTCCTGTAGACGAGAGCTCCGGCAGATCAGAGGGAAGCAATCACCAACAAGAGGGTGGCCCAGGGCGGAGGCAGGAGCACCAGTGCAGAGCCTGGAGAGCCTGGGACAGAAGAGAGAGAGCCCTCGAAGGGCCCCGGCGCGGAAGACAAGGATCTCAGGCCTGAGCCACAGAGCAACGGGCGACTCTGTGACAACGTTCACCTTCTCTCAAAACGTTAAGTGTTTCTCTCCTCGTAGCACCATCACCCCATGACGGCCTCGAAAAACACGCAGCATCACCGCTGTATACACTTCAGTACACGTCTCAAAAGGAAGTATTAAATTAGCAGGAATAATATGATACTTAATGTGAGTGATTAAAGAACAGATACGTACAGCAAAGATTTTATCAAAGTAACAATATGCTGTACTCAATGGCTTTAGCCTAAGAAACTAAAAAGAAGCTCATTGACTACCTGAGAAACATGTGAGAACTTTTAAGAATGACTGAAAGGTCAGGATTGTAAGAGGAAACAGTGCCAAGTGCAGTTAAGTCCCAGCTCCTTGCCAACACACCTGCTTGTACAAGTGAGCTGAGAGACCCCTGCTGTGCCCCCAGCGGGCTGAAGGAGCAGGCCACAGGACAGGGTACTGTCTAAACTCGACAGGCGGAAAACCCTCGTGGTCTGCTTCTCACTCACACGCTGATGTGTCACACACATGACCATCTTGGTCATTCATGACTGTCTTTTTTGATCTGTCCTTAAAGGGGAAGAAAGAGTTAACTGAACTGGACTGAATCAGCGTGGTGGAGAATAAAACGTCCCCATTCGTCGGACTGGAGCGCGGCCCCAGCTCATGCTGTCTCCTCTCTGGGCAGCCGCCCGCCCTCATGTCAGAGGGGACAGCAAGCCACGTCGGCTGACTGCTCGGCTGAGCTGTGGACGGGTTAGGGCAGAACGGTGCTTTTCACCAGGTAGAAAATAAATTCAGACCTGCCCACACTGAAAAAGTCTAGACAAGCTGAACCTTCAAATTAAAAAAAAATAAAAACAACCTAATTTTAAAAATCAGAACTGAAGTATGGGGGTAGCAGAGAAATTTAAAATAATTTTTAAATGGACAACATATTTTATTTACAAAAATAAAAAAGACTTTAAGCTGACAAAATGTTCTATCTTGACATTCTGAAGCTTCTGGGTGTGAAAGCGAGTATCTTTTAAAACAAATTTGAGAGACTTTTTCTAAAGAAACTCTGATTTTAAAATTTGAAATTAGTAATATGCCAAAGATCGTATTTCTAGGAGCCATTAACATTTCTTCTGTAGCGTCTCTTATTCATATAACCTAAAGTTAAAGTAGATAATGAGTAAAGAAATAAGAATTAAATTTGTGACAACTTGACATTGTCCTTCTATGCTACGTGCTATGTGCTAGCTCTCCACACAGAGGCCAAATGAGCAAGCCAGTCTGTAAAGAGATGGAACTGCCTGCAGGGGTAACTGCTCGGGCGTTTGGCAGAGTTCGGAGCTTGGCTGTTTTCCTTTTCCTTTCTGCTCTCCCTGAAAACCACACATCCAGTCTTCGGGGGCAATGCTTGAGAAAGAGATATTCAGAGTGAAAAACTATAAAATGTTTGTAAATGCATAAAAAACACAAAAAGAGCAAAGATCTATTAAAAGTATGAATATAAGACAATGTAAATACAATCATGTGAATTCTTGGCTCTGGGACTTTAAATCGCCCAATGAGAAGTCACATAACCACCTGTGACATTCTTGTAAAAGCATTTAAAAAACAAGTACTACTGGGGTATCACTGTACTTCCATCGTGTCACTCTCTCGACCCCATCACTGAAGAAACGATAAAGCAAAGTCTGTGTTGCCCCAACCTGACCTGCTTCATATTCATGAAATAATTTCAAGTTATTTGCAAAATCCTGGAGCTGTCTCATCTGTCACTAGCTCCCTGACTTGGGGTGAGGACAGGGGGTGAGAGAGGGTAAAAAGGGCTCTGAAGGGGTAACTCTCCAAACATGATTCAATCCCTTATTATACATGCAAAGAACGGTGGCTTTATCTCAGCAGAACTTCACACTAATGATCTTCACAGGAGAGCATCCATCCTCTTGGCCTTGTACCCAGCATGTGGGAGGCCAGGCTCCAGACACCTGGGGCCCCACTGTGGTGACAAACGCAGTGGGGAAGGTAAATGTCGAGACCCGTGACATACTCCAAACAAAACCTTTCATGAGACTTAAGAGAACAATCTCACTACAGTAAAGCAGGAGCCCAGAATGACACTAGTCCTAAGAGTGACTGATAATTCTTGACCTTTAGCCATGGTACCAGGCACATTTCTGGGCGATTTTTTACATGTTAACTCACTTAATCCTTGCAACAATCCCATAAAGTTACCAAAGAAGAGTCGGTTTGGGTTGTGGTGTTGGGTGAAGAAGACGGAAAGTACCATGGACTGTCAAAAGAACAGACAAATGTGTCCTGGAAGAAGTGTGGCCGGAATGCTCCTTGGAAGCCAGGATGGCCGGAGTTCATGTCGCCCACTTTGCTCGCTGTCAGGAGGAACCGTTCCCTGGAGAAGGGCATCACACTTGGCAAGGTGGACGGTCAGCAAAGAAGGG